TGCAGTTTCTGGAATCCAAGTTGCATATTTACTTAAAATACTCGGTTTTATTTTTCAAAAACCAAGAGTCTGAGCATTACATGGCTACTTGTTGTTCTTATTGCTTCCATAAGTAATATCAAGTCAAGAATAGATGATTTTCTGGTGCTTGCCTCTTTTTTCTGGAGACAGTGGCACCAAGCAAGGCGGGAATTTTCTAGTAAGACCATGTTTACCAGAGTATCTTCCAACAGATATCAGGCTCATCAAAAACCCCTATTACAGTTATTTCATCTCTTTTTAAAGGAACTGCAGTTTGCTTTTCTTTCTTCTTGATTGATGGACTTGATTTCTACTTAACAGTAAAAATCCTCTTTCCTATTGCTTTTGTCTGTTTTGAAAACTTGCATCCTTTATAAGATTTGATGTATCCCAAATTGACAATGTAGTTAAAAAAGAAATGCTTTCTCATTCTCAGGTAGATGTAATAGGACAGTCCTGTTACACGAAGCAAAAAGTAAATCTTGTAGCAGCACTTTTTACTAACATATTTTATGAAAAGGCATAAATTTTTGTGAATTGCAGCTCCATTTAGCAGATGCACAAAGTCACTAGACTGATGTAGGATTTAAATTGAGATGAAACTGAGGGGCAAATGGAGGGAAAGACAGGTTGGTTATGCAGATTTAGGTTACATGTGAGACAGATTATAAGAACCAAAGCAATTGACTGTTGGATTGAAAACCTGTTGTATTTGTTGAGACCTTCGGTTTTTAACACATTACAGTGGTTAAAAATATAACTTTATCACTTTAACTTTATACCAGCATCCATATGTCAAACTGGAATTATTACATAAAAACTGATATTGACTTCTTCTAGTTTAGTTTTAAAGCAAAAAGTGTAGGTTCTCCAGTTTGATAATCCACTTTATAAATTAAGGTATTTCATTGAGTTTAAATTCCCTAACGACAAACTCTTGATTTTGGGATGGGTGAACTTGATTAATATACACTAAAGACAAACCAAATTTATTTTGCATTGCTCTGTAGGTGATGCATCTCTATGTGTTCCATGGCAAATCACTCAGCAGCCCTCTCTCCCCTAACTAAGGCTATGGTTTTTAAGGTAGGAGAAAGGGGGGAAAGGAGGATTACTTGGCCACTTTGTTCATGCTGCAGCAGCAGAAGACTAGGCCCATCAAGGTGTCCTTTCACTGCCTCAGTCACCAGCAGTCTCTCTCCCTTCCGCCTATACTAATACCTCTGGGGAGGGGAAAGCTTCCTCTCACTCTCCCATTCAAAGACTCACAGTTTCTCTTCTCAGAAAGATCTCCCCAAAAGAATGCACTAAAATATAGGTTATTACTAGATGGCACAAAGAGTTAAAGAGTTTTCCTGATACCCCTGAGGGCTTTGCTTTCAGTGTATGGTATTGCTGCTGAGGAAATGACTAGTTTGGGAGTAAAAACGGGAGAGCATATAGAACAGCAGTGACTGCAACATCTCCCTTCCTTCTCCCTCCCCTCCCCATCTCTTCCCCCTGCTTCCTTTTATATTCTTCTTACAAATTCCTATTGGGGATCTACGCTTAGACTACCATGCCTGAGTTGCAAAAATCTGTATGATGGCTGCAAAAAAGTATAGGAGATTCTCTTTGCTATTACAGAGTAATTGTCTAGATGTTTATAACCCAGATCTCTGTTCCTACCTGTGCAATCAGATTTGTTGAATGTGTAGGGGCAGATGGCAAGGGAGCTGCTTTGTAGCAGGCCTCCTATGTTGCAGGTCCCAAGGTGGCTGTTTCTCCCCCTTCTCTTTATTTATGCCTCTAGGATTGCTTCAAAAGCTGTGGTTTACAAAGAGCTGAATTCAGTTTCCCCGTAGCTATATGTGTGGTTAAAATGTTTTCTGTACCAGACTGAGTGCTGCTTTTAACACCTGTTGTTTTTCTACTTCAGAAAACTGTTTCAAGCACTGTTTGAAACAGTTTGTTAAACAGTTTGCGCTATGGTCTTCATACCAACTTTTTTAACTTCTGATTTTCCTTACAAAGAGTAGAGAGAATTTTAAATATCTCAGTTGTGCAACATTTGAGGCTGTGAGGTTTTTTTTAGTGAAACTTAGGTAATGTTAAATGTAACACACATAAAAGATTGGCAATAAATACTATTTTTGACTACAAAAGCAAATCAATGTTTTATTTATTTTTCCATGTACATGTTAAAATGCATACATACATATGTATGCATGTATCTTTGCAATGGATTTCCAAATGGCTAAAAGTGTATGTTTTGGGGTCATATAACTGTATAATCAATCAAGCACCATGTATACATTAATTTTGAGATAGATTTGTTATACATCTAATCTTGTTTCACTTCTTTATATGTAAAGTATTTCTTAAGAAAAAATGAACATAATCATAATCTTAAGATTTGATGAAAATCCTTAGTTCAGCTGGTCTGCACTAGTTGAAGTTAGGTTACAATAGAACAGTACAGAAATAGGGAGCATTTAAGATTTTTTTCTTGAGAGTTGTGAAGTGCATTGTGCGCTTTTCAATTATTAAATGTGAAATAATAGCTCTTGATTTGATTTGATTATGTGTCATATAGCCATTTTTGACTCTCAGAAATCACACAGATTTTCTCCATGACATTCTATTCCTAATCTAATCTTTCAAGTCTCCCAATAGTACACTCATTGAAGCATATTTTTGGCTGTCCTCTTTTATTTCTTTCCACCTTTCCCAGCGTTAGAGCCTTTTCCAGAGAGTTGGGTCTTCAGATAATATGTGAATAGTAGGATGATATCAGCCTGGTCATTTGTGCCTTTAGTATCTTCAATACCAGTGTTAAGGGTTGTTGCTTTACATGTTGGAATTAGTTGGTCTTCCTTATATTTAATTTTACTCCTATTTTTGCACTTTGCTCCTTAACTATTTTTACTAGAGTTTGCAGATATATTGCATTTTAAGCTACCAGAGTAGTGCAATTAGCATAGGACAGGTTATTAGCTTCTTTTCAGAATATAAAACCATGCTTATCTTCTTCAGGTTTCCTTAATATATATTCAGTACATAGGTTGAATAAATAAGAGGAGAGTATGGCAGCTCATCTCCTTTGCCAATCAGGAGTCAGTCTGTTTCATCATGTTCTATCTGTCCTGACCTGTATATAATTTTCTCATGAGGACAACTTATTAACCGCAGGAACCACCATTAATATAACAAGCTTAAAATATTTAGAAGACATATGTTATCCTAGAACACAACATATTCTGTGGGAATTTTATGAAAATTAGGATGAGAACTGGTTAGGAAAGTTTTCTTACTTTAAAAAAGGAGATTATATATTTTTTGATTTGTTGTGCTATTCCCTTTTTGAGTGGTGAATTTCAGTTTTCTGCATGTAGCAATTCTTTATATCTTATGGAGTGCTTCCTCCAGGTCACTGGAAGAGGGTTTGAAAAGCCCCCAGTATACAAATAATACTCTATTGAATGTATGGCAGGCTGCAATCATTGTGGCATATTATAGTGTCACAATAGAGTCTCATAAAATTCTGGTGGTCTATAGTAGATGATATCAGGATTTCCTGAGAGCAGTTAGAGTGTTTGAGCCTGCAAGATTGACTACCTTTAGTTTCAGCTTATAGAAATGAAATTAGTTTGATCTAATTCTAATCGGCTATTGCCCAAATACTTCAACTCCTTACAATTGCTTCAGGAAACTAATATAAGATTTATTCTGTCAGCTTTACTCTTGAGAGAAGGAGCAGCAACAACACAAAAATCAAACTTTATACACGGTAGATGATAAAATGATTACTTGTCAACAGTCTATGAAATGCTTGGGGAAACTCAGATGATCTAGCAACTGGCTGCGATATCTAGATAAGAAATCTTTAGAACTACTTTTCTCTGTAGTTCAGTATTTAAACAGGAATTTTAAAATGAAGTCAAGGTAAAGGATATTCTAAAAACATTTAAAATATACACCTATCAGTGGATAAAAAAACTAGGATTTGTAAATAACCAATGTTTATTTTTAAAATTAAATCTGAGTTGGCAAAATTAAACATTTTATTTAGAAAAGGAGGCAATCTAAGAGAAGAATTCTCAAGCAGGAAATTTGTAGTTTAGTTACTCTAAAATATATTTATTTAGAAAATGTATATGGCTGTTCAATTTATGTGAATAATTATGGGTTCACCAGTGGTGGGATTCAATTTTTTTTACTGTTGGCTCTGTGGGCATGGCTTGGTGGGCGTGGCATGGCATGGTTTGGTGGGTGTGGCAGGGGAAGGATACTGCAAAATCTCCATTCCCTCCCCACCCTATCCCACCCCACTAACCTGCTTTCCAGCTCCATTCTCCTGTGCAAGGGCAACAAAAGAAGACCCAGCTGATCAACTGGGACTCAGGAGACAGCAAATAGGTGGAGGCGGGGCCAGCCAAAGGTGGCATTTGTCGGTTCTCTGAACTATTCAAAATTTTCGCTACTGGTTCTCCAGAACTGGTCAGAACTGGCTGAACACCACCTCTGGTTCCCACTGGATCAAGACATCCAAATTTCAGAGGAGAGGCTGTTGCATTTCTGAAATAACCAAATGTAAGAAAAAACTTAGAAACCTGCTTTTTGTTTCAAATTATTTTTCATTTGGAAGCCAGTTTTTGCCTGAAGGTTTAGGGTTAGAATTACGATTAGGTTGCTTGAAGAGTACTTATCAATGAATAAACTGTGTTCCAAACATATATTTTACATATGTGCACTTATTTTTTCAATAAACAATATCTTTCATTGATAGGAAATTTATGTCTAAAATAAAGTATCATGTACAGTAGGAAAGCTGAAATAGATCTGTATATGAAACCCTAATATTGATTCATTTATACAATAGTAGTTTTTAATTTCCTGTCCATTTGGTTGAATGTTGCAAAATATTTTCTCCTTTTTACACTCTTCCAAACTGCTTTCTAACTCTTGCTAGACTAATTCCCAGTTTTCTTTTGTATAAGGACTTGATCACCTTTAGCGAGGATGAATCCTATCTCGCGGCTGTGGAGTCAACATTTCCAGCTACTGTCTGTAAAGAGGAATTGACAAAAGGTACAAAGGCACCTGCTAATAATTCCTGGAATACAGGTATGTAGAAAATAATCTAAGTTTGTACTAAATCACATGTTCAGTAGTAAAGAAGACAATTGGGAGTAAATGATTTATTATTGCATTACATGTATCTCCCATTTTTTTCCCTGGAAGCTTTCATGAAATCACTCCTCAGGTTATTCTCTCGGCTGCAACCAAGTGAGATAGGTTTTGTTGAGAGAAATAGTAAGTGAATTCCATGGTTGCATGAAAACCTGAATCTGTTTTTCCTCATCCTAGCTTCACACATAAGTACACAGAAAGATATGGTAGTTCAAACTGTGTTAGATAAAAATGCTTTTACTGTTATATATTTGGCTTTGAGGTTCTACAGTCACTCATGGATAGGAATATTTTTATCTGAATCTAAGGAGTCTTGTTGTACTCATCCGAAGGCTAGCAATAGACTGCTTATTTACAGCATACACAAATGACTAATGGAATTTAATGCATGAAAATGTTCTGATGAACATTAGCTTTGCTTGGCACATTCTGTGCTTTCAGAAATGGTTGCCATAGAAACAACAACAAAAACCATGGTACTTCAGCTGTGTGAAGTTATTAATAGGGAAATAAACTGTTGAGAGGGTGAATTCAAAAGAGATAATTTTATTTTCATATCAGATCTTATGTCTAGAAGATAAAGGACATTTGACCATAGATCTGAACTGCCCATAAAAATAAGTACGTGATAGAAATAGATATACAGATATTAATGTGACTTAGAGCATAAATTCATCATTCTGAACATGAACTGGAAACTAAATTTTTGTCTCTTCGCTGCCGTGAATACAATAGCAAACATTCAAACAACATACAGTTGAAAAGTAATGGGCTTTATGGCATATTTTTCAGTAGTTATCTTGTCAAAATAATAACCACATACAAATTTGTAGTCTAAATTAATATAGAGTTATTTTAGGACAGAAATTAAGCCAATTTATATTGAAAATGGAATTTGCAGCTGGGCTTTGCCTATTCCCACATTTGCAAATGTATCTTTGCATGTTTTGCCTAGTACAAGAGTTTCTAGTGGTTTATCTCTGAAGATAATTTAGCAATAGCAATAGCAATAGCAATAGCAGTAGACTTATATACCGCTTCATAGGCCTTTCAGGTCTCTCTAAGCGGTTTACAGAGAGTCAGCATATTGCCCCCAACAATCTGGGTCCTCATTTTACCCACCTCGGAAGGATGGAAGGCTGAGTCAACCCTGAGCCGGTGAGATTTGAACCGCTGACCTGCTGATCTAGCAGTAGCCTGCAGTGCTGCTTTTAACCACTGCGCCACCTTGGCTCTAATTTAGTACACATCTTAGAAATTAAGTAATACCAGTATAGTTTTTTTCTAGAATGACAGCATTATTCAGCATATGGAAAATGTTAAAATAAATGACAAAATTAATGATGAGAAAATTGTAAATTTAATGAATGATGTTTTCTACTTCTATAGACGGTCTGTCTAATAAGGACTAAAAAAATCCAGGTTGCTATCTATATTCATTTTCATGTACAAAGGTAGTTCTGAATGTAAACCTGCATCTAACAGTAGTACCTATATATTAAATTTCACTGCTAATTGTGCAACCCCTACTTCTTATTTTCACTAGACTAGACATACCCAATTCCTGCAAACATTCTTCATATGATTTAGTCTTCAGTTCCCGTCACCCAATCATCTTTGTTGTTCTTTCCTGCACTCTTTCTAGAGTTTTATTTTGTGGTGACCAAAATTGGATGCAATATTCCAAGTGTGGTGTTACCAAGGCATTATAAAGCTAGTAGTATCACTTCTCATGATCTTGATTTTATCCACCTGTTAATACAGTTTAGGATTGTGTTGGCTTTTTTGACAGCTGCAACACATTGCTGGCTTACATTTAAGTGATTATCCATTAGGACTCCAAGATCCCTCTTGAAGTTACTGCTGTTGAGCCAAGTTTCACTTAGTCCCATGATGGCGAACCTATGGCACACATGCCCAAAGTGGCATGCAAAGCCATGCCATCCCGCATACTTAGCCTTGCCTGTTTGTCTTCCGGGTTTCTGGCATGCATGCACACATGATGATCTCCTTTGCACACATGGCAGTGCTGAAAACTGGTGTGCGGATGCATGCTGGCCAGCTGATTGTTGGGTGAACATGCACGCTAGAACCCGAAATTTGACTTTTCTGGAGCATGCACGCACAATGTTTCCACATGACCGTTTTGGCACTCAGTGCCGAAAAGGTTCACCATCACTGACCTAGTCTGTATTGCTATTGAGCCAAGTTCCACCCTTTCTTGCCTAAGTGTAAAACCTTACTTTTTTCTACATTTGAATTTCATTTTGTTAGATAGGGCCCAGTGTTCAATTCTATCAAGAACTGTCTGGATTTTGAGCCTATCTTCTGGGGCATTGGCTATTCCTACTAGTTTAGGATTCATCTGCAGATATGATGAGATCGCATACAGTTTAAGCCAGACATAGAGTGTGAATTTCATATAAAGAAAAATTAATGATATACAGAAGCTTTAATAAAGTTGTGTCATAATTGTTTTCTGGAAAAAGAAAGTTCACAAATACATGCAGGGCTGCTGTGAGGATTATTCTAGGTATTTCTTGGATTATCTGTGAAATAATTTCAGTTGTACAGTAAGATTTCAACTCAAGTGAATCTGAACAACTTTATAAAGCACTATATGGTACAGGAGGCCATCTTTCTGCAATTGTTTCTGCTCATCCCACACATCTAGCAGAAAGGACATGCTTTAGATAGTGATGGGATTCAAAAATTTTTACTACTAGTTCTGAAGGGGTAGCTGGGTGGGTATGGCAGGTGAAGGATACTGTAAAATCTCCATTCCCTCCCCAATCCAGGGGAAGGTTACTGCAAAATCCCCATTTCCTCTTGGGCAGTTGGGACTCAGGAGGCAGAGAATAGATGGGGGCAGGGCCAGTCAGAGGAGGTATTTACCGGTTCTCCAAACTACTCAAAATTTCTATTACCGATTCTCCAGAACTGTTCAGAATCTGCTGAATACCATCTCTGGATTTAGATTCCTTTTATTAATCAATTGAATTGAATACTTTATTTGGCCAAGTGTGATTACACATATAAGGAATTTGTCTCCAGTACAAAAAGTACTCAAAGTACATGCAAAGCAACACAATAATCATAATTATGTCACCTTGGTGGACCTAGGAATTGTGTTTTCTCAGTGGCAGCACCTGCCTTGTTGAACAGCATCACCCTGGATATCCCGACTCTTGTTTTCCAAGACATCTGAACCAGGAAATTAGGCAAAGTCTGTTGTTGATGTGCTTTTTTAATTGGTATGTACTATTTACCTTGGGCATTATGGGCTTGCAGCTCTTGAGTTTTTAATTTTTGTACATCACAGATTCACTCCTGTGAGATGGGAGGCCATATAAATTATTTAAATTATACATACATACATACTGTACATACATACATACATACATACATACATACATACATACATACATACATACATACATACCAGAGTGGGTTCTGGCTTCTTCTACTGCAGGTTTGCCCTTGATGCGCAGTATGCATGCATGCGCAGATGCAAAAAACAAGATGGCTGATAGAACCGGTTCGGGGGCCTGGCCAGTTGAGTTACTACCTACTTAGCCGAACCGGTCCGAACTGGTAGGAATCCACCTCTGATACATACATAAGTTTAAAAGTATAACCTTACTTCATGCAGTTAAATAGGTTGTACATGGAAGATTTTTCAATTGACTTGACAATGCCTTCCTCACAATCCATAGAGGTGATACATATAATAACTGAAGAAAGAGTGTAGGCTTCATTTTATTTATTTAAAATATTTATATAACTACCCATCTTATATTGAACTCTGGATGATAACCAATCTATAAGGAAAATGCATACTGAACTCTCATCCTATAAATTGTGGTGGTTGGGAACATCTGTTCACTTATGAATATTGTACTCAGAAAGGTCAGATAATACCAAGGAGCCATTTTTCGCGTATTCCTCTATGTACTGTGTGAAATGTAAATAAATCATACATTTACAAAGTAAAATTAAACTTAAAATAAGTATTCCCAACCCAGTGAGCCAATTTTCTCTACTAGCTAAGGTCGTTGGACTGGGACTATAGAAACTTTAATTTAGTCCTGTTTTAGGCACTTTGCCAGTTGGTTGACTATTGAGCAGCTAGTCTTAGCACAAATGAGAAGCAACAGAAGCTACCTCTGGAAATGGTTCAAGAAAGCTCTAGATACTTGTCCATGGAGTTAAGTCTGATTAGAAGAAAAGGAAAATTGATTCAATATTATTCATATGTTGAATGTTGTCTAAAAACTTCCAAACAAGAAAGAAATTTTTCTTTTGGTAATGACCAGCATACAATAAGATAAACTATGGTAAAAACAACCAAACGAACAATAAAGAAATCTGTATAAATGTGACTAAAGTGAATAAAATATATTAATCATTCTAAGTGCAGAGATAGTTTACCCCCTGTGGTGCACTTCTGGATAGTGCATGAACATGAACTGAACAGACTAGCAGTCTTAGGCAGCCAAACAGCTAATGTGTATTAACAATGTAGGCTCTTGGCTAATGTGTTACTGCCAGAATAGGCAGCATTTAGGAATGGACATTCTACAATAAATCAGTGTGTAATGTTGAATCATTTGGGAGAGAAATATCATTTTCTGAATGAAGCTCTTTTTGTTGCCTTTATCGATTTAAAGGCAAACTTTGACTCCATTCTCCAATAAAATGTTTGAAAGAAATTAATTCAACAATATTTTTCCTTGCATCTTTATTTTATTTATTTTATTTTATACACTTTATATCTGTTCATCTTAAATCAAATTCTGGGAAGCTTCCAATCAACAAGACAAAAGAATATCAATAATAAATTGAAATGATACATTTATATGTTAAAACCATAAACATTAAAAGATTGGCACCAAAGTCAAACTTCCTTCATTAAATCTTCTCATTCACTTCAT